TTTTTTATCCCAAAGTAGAAAAAATAATTTACAGTAACTATTTGCTGGGGGAAAAAAATGGATACAAATCTGCCTATGACACTTAAGCAACTTTGTTTAATTACTGAACTACTCTCATTTTCTCAGTGTAGCCACCTGTCCTAAACATGGATATAAGCATCAATATGAATAATATAACATTTGAAACTTACTAAAATTCATTGTGTAGTTTATAACACAAGCAGCAAAGAAAATGTTATTTTTTGTCAAAGACGGAAAAGCTGAATTTATATTAAATATTTGCTTTTTTTAGGGTTAGCACTTTCATAACTGACACCAAAGGGTGGAGTTAGGAAACAGCTACCGTTTTTATAGAGTATGTTTTCCAATTTGAGACTTACAGCAGCTTCCTGAAGGTTAACATATGACAGCTGAAGGTGATTATTGGAAGGAAGCAGATGAAAGAGTAACTTGAAAAAATAGCGTAAGATTTTTAGACAGGTTTTATATCTTGAAAAAAATGATGACAAAATACGATGGATCCTTAATAACCCATCTCAGTGTCTGAAGCCTTCAGTGAACAGAATATAATTTATCACGTCTAACCTAAGCCGTTTTTGCTTCAGAATAACCAATATCTTCTTAACGAGCTTCTGGTGGAATGGTAGTGAAGCATCTACCCTGTTTTAATGGTGCATATATAATGAACCACCTTCTCAATCCTGCTTCAATCAAGCAACAATGCTTTGTCTTCTTGAGGATTATCCAGGGTGTGTCAGGTTAACAGGTAAATTAGCTGATGCAAAGAGCAAGGCAAAAAAGAGCTCAATCTCCTCGCATATTTTTTTTTTTTTTTTTTTTTTGCGGTACGCAGGCCTCTCACTGTTGTGGCCTCTTCTGTTGCGGAGCACAGGCTCCGGACGCGCAGCCTCAGCGGCCATGGCTCATGGGCCCAGCCGCTCCGCGGCACGTGGGATCTTCCCGGACCGGTGCACGAACCCGCGACCCCTGCATCGGCAGGCGGACTCTCAACCACTGCGCCACCAGGGAAGCCCTCCTCGCATATTTTTAAGTTGACACCAAAATTGTTCTATCATATAGAAGTTTAAATAGTTGCATATATAATAATGGCATAGTATATGTTTTAAAATAAAACGGTCACACACTGTTTTAAATGTATCTAATGGAAGTTAATATAATGATTTTGATACACACACTTTCTGTTTCTTAACAATGAACTGACAGAGGGCTTCCCTGGTGGCGCAGTGGTTGAGAGTCCGCCTGCCGATGCAGGGGACACAGGTTCGTGCCCCGGTCCGGGAAGATCCCACGTGCCGCGGAGTGGCTGGGCCCGTGAGCCATGGCCGCTGAGCCTGCGCTCCGCTACGGGAGAGGCCACAACAGTGAGAGGCCCGTGTACTGCAAAAAAAAATAAAAATAAAAATAACTGACAGAGCTTTCATACTGTTTCTTTTTACTCTTTGAACTTGAGTATTAAATCCATTTATCCCACAGAATTTTATTCTAATGTAACATTTTTCTATGCCTGAAAGATATTATTTATTACTCAACATACTTCTCTGAAATAAAAATATACAAATAAATGGTAATTTTAAAAGAATTTCCTTTTGTCAAAATAGTCTAAGCACTTAAAAAAAATTTCATCTGGATTACTTGTGGATTGTAATTATTATTACCACACAGCTAATGAAAACAACATCAATGTATTACAAATTTTGAAAAATAATTATTAAACATTAAAAACTTAGAAGGAGATATGTCTCTTGAAAGTGGCTGTTTATTCAATTACTTCACATTTTATTGAATGGAAAGTTATTTACTATTACAATGAACAGAACTGGATAGAAATTTACTACAAAAAGAAAAGAAGGTATTGGCCACATATTTGCATACAGTTAATTTAAATCTAATGAGTACACGAAGACATAAACAAGTAGAGAAGAGGCTGATGCATACCAGCAAGCAAAACACACTGAAGTAATAAAAATGAATATGGATTTAGAATATCAAATGATATCTTTTTGCAAAAGTTAACGAAAGTGTCTTCCGAATGAATGAGAAAATATAAAGCACAAACTTTCCTATAGTGCATGGTCCTTCTACATCAGGAGAGCACATTGATCTGATGAAAATAAACAGAACTTTTCACTCCCTCCTCGTTGAGATCTATCACTGAAGCCTCCCGGAGCTCTTTTCACTTCTGGGTAGGTGAAACGAAGACAAGTGTGTTTCAGGGAAGAGTATTTCTCAAAGGGCTTTTTATTTCTAACACATCTTGAAAATTCTAATTCTATCATGTGGAAGTGTGTGTACACCACAGCGCGTTCCACTAAGTCTGCAGCCTGGATAAAACAAGGTGCCTCTTGCCTGCGGTAACCCTTGCAGATGTTTCTCTGCTTTGTTCTCATAAACGTTCCCTGAGGCACAATATATACTTTGATGATGGCTGGAGAAGGGAAAAGGGGAGGTTGTTCACAAAAAAATGGTACAGTTCTTGCTGACCACCTATACATCTGAATTAAGAAAACCCCAAGATTGGTCAAAAGATCCCATTTCTAGTGTCATACTCTGCCCTTAAAAGTAGTACGTATAGAGTGAAGGCAAGGAGCTCTTCTATGGGGTGTTTGAAAGAGGCTTCTTCAAGCCCAATATTTTAAACTGTGCTTGTCTTGCACCCTGAAGGTGTGGTTTCACAGAAGACTCACTGGGAAAGGCGTGTCCTTCTTTTGAGAAGTGGAAGAGATAACACAAAGCAGGTATGAAAAGAGAACTGGCAGGTGCCAACACAGAAGCATGTTCTCAGGTAGCTCAATTTCAGAAAACATGCATGTGGAAACTGAAGACCTAGAAAACTGTTCCTTTGCCACTATCCGTGGCATATACCCCAGTTTTAAGACCACTGTTATATATCACCCACATCACTACTTCTTTTTATGAGGAAAAACAATATGGATTCTTTTGAAACCCCACTTCCTTCTTCCTGGGGCATACAAAACATGGTATCATTTAATTTTTATGAGAATCCTCTAAGGTGGGTTTTATTATACCCATCCCATTTCACAGATGGGAAAAGTAAGATCAAACTGGTTAGATAACTTGTCCAAAGTCCAACAGATAATAAGTTGAATAGAAGTATGTGAACTCAAGTCATCTGCCATCAAAGCCCACTGCTCATAATGGTTCTCATTTCTAAGCTCACTTTTTTTTTTTTTGCTTTCTAATACCCCTTCTAACAAACCAAGCCCCATGTCATATTATGATAAAATAGGATTTAATAGACTGTATTAACTGATTGCTGGTGGGCCAGAAAACATGTAGTTCTACATACATTAGAGCCTTTTAATGCTCACACCACCACAAATGAGGTTTGATCACCCCCATTTTGCAGACACTGAAAGTGGGGCTAACAGGCTTCTTGCCCGAGGTCATACCGCTAACACTAATTGGCGCTGAGCTGAGATTCAAACCTAGGTCTGTTTGATTTCAACAAGCTCTTAACTATTATGATAAATTGTTCTCACAACAGCAGATCCTCTGACAGTACAGGCCTAATGATGAAAGAGGAGGACACGAACTCCTCTGTCTAAACAGGGCAGGTGGATAATGGGACTGGGCAAAGCAAGTAGGGCACAAGGTGGGGACCAGAGAGTGCTGAGAACTGGGTATCCATGCCTGCACCCCAGGACAGCACTGCCAGCGCCAGCTTCTGTGTGGGGCTGCAAACCCAGGAAGCCATGCCTGCTGACTGTTCAAGAGGGACTGAAAAGCAGATTTTTATGTGAAATCTTACAAGTGTTAAATTCTGGCAATCAATTAAGAAATATCTACTGTGCATATATCCACATATATTTTTAAACTGATTTTTAAAATACCCACACCATGTTCCAGGTAGGTTGAATGTGGTTCATGGACCACCATATTATAACTTCTGAGGTAAAGAGTGCATGGTGGGCTGTGCCCCATGTTGAGAAGATCATTACTCTATATAAAATATCTCTAGAGACTTCCCTGGAGGTCCAGTGGTTAAGACTTTGCCCTTCCACTGCAGGGGGCATGGGTTGGATCCCTGGTTGCAGAACTAAGATCCCACATGCCACGCAGCCAAAAATAAATCAAGAGTGAAGATTATGTTTAAATAAATATATAAAAATATCTCTAGACAGCCAATTCTCTTTCTTATTTCATTTAAATAAGAGCATGGTACTGCTGATTTCTGCTGATTTGGGGGCCTCTGGGGCTGGTTTAGGCAGTTGCTAATTCTCCATCCCACTCAGAACTGGAGCATCCAGCATAATCCTCACATAGAACAGGGGGTAAAAAGATACAAAACTAGAAAAACATCAAGCACTGCAAGGAGGTAAGGCTGGGAAGCTGATCCTGATGCTTCCTGGGTGAAGCTGCACCTCAGATATAACCTGATCTCCAGTTTCCCCCATCTCCGTCCTCTGTACTCAGTCCCCAATACCTAGCACATGGCAGGTGTTCAATAAATATTCATTTTTCCTGCTCAGTGTAGACGCTGTACTCATGCCCACCCTCCCATAGTTCCGTTTTTTCCCACCCCAACTCGGAAAGTTAGCCAGGAAGGTGTTTGTTGACTAATCAGAGCTCCAGCAGCTATGACCTAAGGTATCTGTTTAAGCGTTTACGCTCCTCAGACAGGAACAATACTGGTGGGTGGGAGAGCTGCCACAAGAAATCAAATCTACCAGGCTAAAGCTGCTACTTGCATTCCTCTGTAACTATAGCTTCTTTGGTCTGGTGATTTCACTACCGGGCTTACTTTCGCAAATATAACGACAGACTTCCTAAGTGTGCATACAACCTGTATCAGAATAGTAAATCACATTCTGATTATATGTTCAAATCTATGCCTTTAATCCTTAATGCATTACAAATTAAATCCAATATTTCCCCCAGCTTGCGCTATTATGGCCAATAGGCAAATATTCTAGACACATCAACCTGAGACAGAATCTTATTTTCAAGCAATCAATTACTTATATTCGCTGGTGTAGGTGGTGAGCTCACTGTCGTTGTGCATCCACTTGAATTCCAAGGGCCAGCTCCCTTCAGCAAGACACGTGAGAACGAGACGGTTCCCTTCCAGGTGAATCTGCGGAAGGCCCGGCTCTGTTTTAAAATATGGCACAACGTCATCTGAAATATTAAAGGAAAAAGAGAAAGAAAGGAAAAAAACTGAATGAGGTACACATGAAAATGTCATTCATCCAATTAATCAATCACTTGTTTAAACAGACCTAATTTTAAAAAGCAGAAATGATGGCTATTTGGCCCAATTAAGCAGCAAATTATCCTTGACCCCCTAGAAACCTGCAATACCCTAGACAATATTTCAAAAGGCTGAATGCTCTATGACAGCACCATGTGAAAGCACCTGACAGGTTCATCCGAGTTATTTCCACTTGTGATTAATACTTATGGCATACTGGGCAATCTCTGCTGATGCAAGCCTTGGCTTTAACTAGGCATTATATTCTCAAAGTAACAATCAAGGGGTATATACCTTGGCTCTAAAAGAAAAATATAACCTTCACTTAGTTATAAAAAAAAAAAGGTAACTAGGATAAGCAAGATTAACACATATACACAAATGACATGAATCACAATCCAGCTTTCATCTCACACACACACTGTCTCTCTCGGTGACATCCAGGGGGCTATCACACTGGAAACCCATGTGTATTCATAGAGTGGAACAGCCTGCAGCAACAGGAACGAACCAACTATTGCTACACACAACACACAACACACAACACCACGGATGGAGACGTATGTGGAGTGAGAGAAGCCAGACAGGAAAAAATTATAGCGTATGCTTCCATGCAAAAGTTGTTCAAAACCGGGCGAACCTACTCTGTGGTGTTAGAGGTCAGTCAGGGCGAGCGTTGTTACCTCTGGGGGATGGGGATGGTGGCAGGCGTGTAACAGGGCAGCTCGTGGAGAGCACATCAAGATCCATTTCTCAACATGGTTACACGGGGCCATTCACTTTGTGAAAATTCATAGAAAATCATCCTGTATCTGACTTGTGCAATTTTTGTATGATGCTTCCTTAATTTTTAAAAAGTGTATGAACATAGGAGACTTATTTGCAGTTCTAGCTCTATCATTTGTCTAATAAAATCCCCAGGGCACACCCGCATAATCCGGTGTGTCTATCCTTCAGGCCTCCTACCCTCTCGACTCAGGGATGAACACTCCAGCACACTCTGCTTTTCACTCTTAAGCCAGGCTAAGCCCTTTCTCCCTGGGGGCGGGGGGGGGGGGCTTGCCTGTGTTCCTCCCCCACCCCGGGTGCTCCTCCCCAGCTCCCTGCAAAAAGCTGATGCATTCCCATCCTTCAGGTTCACCAAGCTCCTCCCACCAACACGCCCTAACAAACCGTGACTTATACCCAGTGGATTCCCATGCACGATCTCAAACACTTCTGAATTTCTAAACCAATGCCAGGAACAAAGTAGATACTGAATAAATATTCGTTCGATGAATAAACACAATAATAACAAAATTAACAGTAATAGCTAGTGTTCACTGAGTATCTACTATGCCGGAAACTGTTCCAAGTGCTTTATATGTATTGCTTGATTTAATTTTCACGAAAGCCCTACAAAATAGATGCCATTATTATACCCATTTTACAAATGGGTAAAGAGAGGCATAGGGAAACTAACTTGTTCAAGGCCACCCAGACAGTATGTGGTACAATCATGATTTAAACCCCAGATAATCTGTTCCAGAATCCAGATATCCTATATATTATGACTCTAAATGTCACAGGTTTCTCAATAGAGAAATTTTCTTCTCAAGAATCCCTATCTTAATGGGACTTCCCTGGTGGTCCAGTGGTTAAGACTTCACGCTCCCAATGCAGGGGGGCCCGGGTTTGATCCCAAGTCAGGGAACTAGACCCGCATGTGGCAACGAAGATCCTGTGTGTCGCAACTAAGACCCAGCATAGAATGAATGAATGAATGAACGAATAAATAAATAAATAAATAAAAGAATCCTTATCTTAACTTCAAATTTTTGATAAATTTGTAGAATTATTAAACTGGACTTTTAAATTACTGTATTTTTCAAATTAATCATCAAATAGCATATTAACAGTGCCAAAATTGAGACTGTTTTTACATTAAATTGTACGTATAGCTGGTTTCTTCTGTACTGAATATATAGAATTTAAATACAGAGTTTATTTTGCCATTGTGCTGATCACTGTATTCCATAATTGGTACATTGGTAATACAATGTTACCCGTCTCTTACTAGTATTTATCCAAATAAATAAATGTTAACTTGTATCTGTGAGTGGAGTAAGAGCCTGTAATAAGGAGATTTAACCACCTCAATGAGATGCCGGGCAGGAGCTGAGAACTAAAAGATCAGCAGTTGTCGATACTCCAACAATACCACGTGCAAAGGCCCTGTGGTGGTAGCAAACATGGCGAGTAACCTTGGAAAGCACAAAAGACTGAAACACCAGCCGTTCTGTAGGTTCAGAGAGAATGACTGGAAGCAGGGCCTCACAGGCAAGGCAAACACAAGTCGGCTTTCCACATCACCCCTGTGTGATTTTCAGTGGTGCCCACTTCACATTCAAAAGCGTTCTTCTCATGTGAATGATAAACTATATGACCACCCTAGTTCTAGGCCTTGGTCAAAAGTACCGTCAGTATAATTACGATGATGACTAGCTATTATTATAAAAGGACGGCAGAAAGGCTTTGAAGGGGCCATGTAGTTAAACGTTCATTTTGGCTGCAACATGGAGAAGGAATTAAGAGGGGCCAGAGTAGTGGGAATAGACCAGTTAGGAGGTCACTGCAGTAACCCAAGGAAATGCTCTGAAAGGTGACAGTGGGTTGGGTCAAGGTAAGAGCAGTGACTGTGGTGGTGGAGACAGAGAGACACGGATGGCTCTAAGACAAGATCTAGGGGGCAAAAAAGGCTTAACGATGGACTGAATACGGGCGTAAAGGACTGAGAGGTTCGAGAAGGATTCTTAGATCTCTGACACGCACAACTTTCCGTTCAAGAAACACACCTTGATTCTGTAACCAGCATGGGGAATACAACAAGAATAAGACAGAGTTTCTGTCCCTTTAGAGGTTATAGTCTAAATCCGGCACAGGAATAGAAACGGTAAAGTGTCAGGCGCTGTGACCCTAACCCTAACACAAAGGCAGGAAGTAGTCACCCCTGTCCTACCCCAAAAGTTCCACCTGCTTCTGTCGCACATCACCTACTCTAAGTTACAATTCAAGTGAATTCTTAGGTTTTGATTGTCAACTGTGTGTCCAATTTCCCTTTTTGCTATGTGCTAAAATCACGCACTCTCATGACCCAAGCAGTCTAAGAAAGCTGAACTGTGATGGATATGGCTTTGATACCTTGGGATTGACTGAGCTACTACTGGCTTTATTAATGCCCTGCCATTCGCACTATATTCAACAACAGAAAAAGAAATGCCTTCATATGGTTCCAGTGTGCTACAAGAGTGAGTCATTAAAAAAACAGATATTTTTGAAAGAAAAAGGCTTCAAGATAGATGCTTAAGAATTTGAATTTGGTTTTACAGTTGACAGAGCATCACTGATTTAATACATGATGGTTCTGAATGTAAATAATACCATAATAATTCAATTTTTTCTAGAATTCATCGTTTACTAAACATGCCTACACCGTGTACAAATTATGCTGCGTATTGTGATCTAGTAGGAAAAAATATTTTCAAAAAAGAGAGGTTTCATAGGGCTGGCGAGCAAATACCTTGCGACAGTGAAGAATTACGGTTGGCACTGACTCTGACGTTAGTTATAGGGAGGAGGGAGGGTAACTATGGCAGTGTTCTGGAATGCTAAGGGTCTAAGTTAAAATTACTGCCACAAGTGTTTTAACATAGATTAGCCGATGTGCAGAAAAACACAGTTAGCTCTCTGAGCCCAGAAATATTTACCACTGAAATATACAGAGTAGATCATGAAATTAAGAGGGCCTAAAGGTAACAAAACATAAAAGCTCTGGGGAGAGAAAGAGAAACAGAAGGAAGAGTATTCAGGTCTGCACAGACCCCTACAAAAGCATGTGATCTTTATATATCTTAAATGGAACAGAAAAGAGTTTGAAAAGATCCATAAAGACAAAAATGATTGAGGTACCTCTGAGATAAGATTATGAGACTCTGACCTGGGGACAAGTCAGTGGTCCACCTGATGCTCTTTGAGGTGTATGTGTGTGTGTTTTTCCCAAATAATAACTAATAGGAAAAATGAGCAGACATTAAGTATGCTTCTGTATTCTTACAATGAACATTCATGGAACCCTGAATGAATTACTAAGAAAAACTGTGAAATTTCCATTTTCACATACAATTAAATAGAACATAAATCATTTATGAAAGAAAGAGTCTCGTCTGTCTGGATAATACAGATTTAAGGTCCATCCAAAGGAGAGGAATGGACTTGGTGTTCTCTCAAGACAACATCATAATTTTATGACGTATAAGTCACTTCCCTAAATGGATTTCTAAGGTTTTCAGATATAGCGTAAATGTATTTAACTTTACCTGTCCAATATGAAGAGAGTCTTCTGCTCATCCAGAAAGGAACCATGACCCATTTGCCACAACAAAAGTCATTTCCATGGGGAAGCCAGAGGATAAGACACTCTGAAGCAGAACCACGTCCTGGGGTTCCAGGCTTTCCTACCATGAGGAAGAGTGGCCTTGCCATGGGTTTTAATTATCTGCTCCCAGTGGAATATGGAGGATTTATTACCAGATACTCCTTCATGGCAGAATGGATAGGAATCACCTAGTCGGTGCCAGGAAAGTCAAACTTCAAGCGATTCTTACGATGCTGCCCATGAGAGAACTTCAGCCACGACCGTCAATAATTGTCATCTGTTCCGTAACTTCCCCTCTTCTCCCCCATTTTAAAGTGATAACGAGTAAAGAAATCATAATAATCACTTCCACTTAGTAGAGGAATCAACCTACCACAAACAAGGGGGGTCTAAAGCAGAGCAGCCCACATGTTCTGGTGACAGTAAACTTTATTAGGCAATCATCCTCAGTGCCGTCAGCCAGGTGAGCGCCCAGCGCGAAGGGCTGGGAGTCACAGCCCATGGGCACCGCTCAGCTGGAGCAGGGCCCCGTACTACTGAACTCTGCTTTCTTGATGGCTGAATTTCCCAGGGCAACTCATCTTTTGGTTTGAACCACTCATCTTCCCTTCAAAGCTTCTTTTATATCAAATTCAAACATTTTCATGCCCCAAGCTTACGAATTTACCACCAGCAGAAAGTTTTTTCAAACCCCAGTGAAAAACAAAAGCACAGGGCATAATGCATCATTTGCGAACAGCTATTCTGAAAAATATGGGTAGAAGACTCCTTTTGGGTAAATACAGTCATTCAAATTTCAGCTGCCGGCAGGTCATAATGCACACCCATCGAAGCCAGGAATTTAATCTCACAGTGTGTTGTGCTTTTTTCATAATAGTAGTATTAATCTTTTTAAAACAACTGTTGTGCATTGTAAATGTATTTCTGAGGTAAAATTTAAATATATGATTAGATATGTTCTCTTATAGTTAAAAATGCAAATATGGAAAGGTCTCACTACAATGCAGAAGGATGATCCTAGAAGATAACAGTCTCAGGACAAAGTCCTCTACGTGCTTTAGGACAGGCTGTTTCAACCTGCACTTCCTGTGAGCACCTAATGTAAACCCTTCGGTGGTTAAGCTGAAATGAAGAAGGAAAGGAGGAGACAAAGGAGGAAGAGGAAGAGACGGTGGCTCTATCATCCCCGCTAATTCTCAAGCTTCATTCTTCTAGCTTATCAGAAATATTTGTAAATATTTTCCAGTGATAGACTTTCAAATATAGTAGGATGTACCATCACATTCTGGGGCTAAAAAAGTTAGCCAACTTCTCTGTATGTCACTTTATATACTTCTACTACTGCCTTGTAAAATGAATGAGAATCAGCAATTTCAGGGCAAAAGGTAGCTACAATTGAACAAACATATACAGATCTGACTTCAAACATCAGAACCTATCACGACGACCACGAAGCACAGGGACAGGGTGCTCTCCAGTTCTCACTCTCTCGTAAGCACTTCCGACGGGGCAGGACTGGAGGCTGGGCTGTAAGCCAGGCTTCCGCTCTGCGCTGCAGCATCTCCGACCAACAAGCAGCCAGGCCCTCACCCCTTCCCAGCTGGCGGAGCTGCGCACAGAAGAGGGGACACAAGACTGAGGCCCACAGTGGCTCCCGCGCCGCATCACCAAGGCTCATCATCACCCCTCAGGCACTTGCTGAGCGTCTCCTGGCTGATCTGGGGATACAGCTCGTCCCTGTCCTGAGGGGTCACAGCCCAGGGAGAAAGAGGCTAGTCAACGAGCCGAGGGCAATACAGGAGGTGAGAGCACAGAGGCAGGAAGCCATTGCCTGAGAGGGCCCTTGATGAGGTTCAGGACCGAAGACCTCCCCGGCTGAGGGTCCGCATGTCAGCCAGGACAGAAGCGGAAGGGGCGCCAGTGCCCAGAGCAAGCTGACAGCTTCGGGCTTCACAGGGGCTGAGGCCCCAAGGCCGTACGGAGCCGTGAGGGCTCAGGTACATCTCCGTGCTGCTGCAGCTACGCAGTGGCTTCCAAAGGTTTCTGAAGGCTTGTTAAGGAACTGTCTCATCCCTTATGACAAATGAGAATCTTTTTAGATCAATGCACTCCTCCATCCCAACTAAGAAGGAAACTTCTATGAGTCATCCGTTTGTTTGTGCCTGGGCCCAGCTGTGAAAGGTGAGCAGGGCTGCAGGACCGTCCTCGCAGGCCTGGAGAGGCCTCTGAGGCTGAGGAATGGCCTGGTGGAGTGGCAGCGACTACTAAGCCTGCTTAGGGACGGAGTTCGGGAAGCCAGGGGACAGGACACCTGAGTACCCTATACGAGGAAGGAAAAGACTTACCGTTCATCCCTCTTGCAAGTGTCTGTCCCCCTGTCCTCTGGGGTGCACCGTAATCAGAGGCAGAAAGAAGATCAAACCAGGCACCACATATTCCTAGATCTCACGGTGAAGTCATCATTTTCTATTCAAAAGCGCATCTAGAAAGTGTGGCAAAGTAGCCGGTCTGCGGTGTTCTCTTGGTATTTGGTCTGTGTGTGTGGAAAGAGGAAAGCTGGAGGGGTCCCTAAGATTCCCACTAGACGGTACTGTGAACAGCTCGCCAATGCATTCAGTCAGGGGCAAGCCAAACTGATTATCTCTGTTTTCTCTAAAATCGATGTGAATTAACAGCATATTTAAGGGAACTCATGGGGTAAAACTACCCTTCCAATATTTTCCGCTAAGAAACCATTCAAGCTTTCAGTGAGATTAATCTACAGTGAAGCTGATGGTAGAAACATAAATGGTTGTATTTATGTACTGGTTTGATCCTGCACTGTGCTAATCTATTTCAGCATATAAATTAATAATAAGAGTCAGTGGAATAAAAGCAATTCCCCTATTTCTCCAAACTGCAATAAGCTTGCAGTTCTCTAATATTTTATTTCAAAGTACAATCACACTGAATCGTCATTTCTATGGTTTGCCGTTAAAAAGTATGACCAACCAAAATAAGGAGAAGAGTTAACAGAAGTAACCAACATTTTTCTTGACTATGGTTACAATATTTCTCTCAAATATTCTTTCAAATAATCCTGAAACTCCAACTCAGGTTAAATAAAAGGCCAAAAGGTAAAAGAAAAGAAACTCAGATGAGATTTATCTTTCCCTGATTAATGCAGACTGCTGAGTTTCTGTCACATGTGTACTGACATAAAAACTGGGATTCATCTGACAAGTACAGGTTTCTGGTAACTGACTACACTGCTGAGCTGAATGAATAAGCATTTTCGGAACTCTAATGGAAAACTGATGAACTCATAAAAGTGCCAACAAAAGATCAAGATGAAAAAAAAGTGATTACACGGGACTGAGTGAATTGATGAGGATGATTATAATTTTTGTGACTTTCTGTTGGAATAAAAAAAAAAATCCCACAAGGACTCAGGGGCAAAAAATATACAAATCAATTTTCACTGCAGAGTAAAGGAGCAGTTACAGTGGAGGATTCCTGGACTGAATGTCAATATCATGACACAGTGCGAGTGTGTGAGTGTTTGGTAACTGCAGTCATTGTTGCTTTTGTTGTGGCCAATCCGTTTACAATGCTTGGTGTCAGTTTATTCATCTCTTGTAAAAATAAAATACAGTGTGTGTGTGAGAGTTGTGAAAAAAAAGAAACAACACAAAACTGGAACTCAAAAGATACCTAAATGATGAAGGTTTAATTTTAGACCAGGAAAATTACATGGGAAAAGAACTTCTTAAGAATATCTAAATTCAAATAGACAAGGCCTATTGATTTCAGCAAAGTTACAAACCATAAAGGTTTCTCAAAGAGAAGTACTCGTACATCACAGCAGCTTAGAGCAAGGGCTCAGGAGCCAGACTGCCCAGGCTCAAACCCCAGCTCTACCCTGACCAGCGCTGTGAGCTTGGGTAACTCAACCTCCTACACCTGAGCTTCCTACAAAATAATGAAATGATCTCAAAAAGTTTCATTAAAACAAATGCACTGTTAAGATAATGAATATGAAAGCCACAAAGTGGGAGAAAATATTCTGGTTACATGTATCTTGAAAAGATTTGAAGTCAGATTATATAAAGAATGCCTACGACTCAATGACAGGACAAAGAAAACAAATAAAATGAGCAAAAGGCTTGAGCATGCACTTCACAAAGGAAGAAATACCAATAGCTAACAAGCACACAGGAAAGTGCTAATCTCCTCTGACATTAGGGACTATAACGGCTAAACTGGAAAAGACAGACAACACTGAATGTGGGCAAATACGTGCTGCAACTGCAACCATCCCCCTCCGTCACTGGTGAGGGTGTGGAAATAGTACAGCCACCTGAGAACGAGGTCTGGCAATTTCTTATAAAATTAAACACCTACTCAAGGACCCAGAAATTCCAGGCCTAGATATTTCTTTGAGAGAAAAGAAAGCAAATGTCCAAGCAAATCACTTCACATGAACAGTCACAGCGGCATTAATTCTAATACCCTAAACTGAAAACAACAGAGACGACATCAATAAAAATGAACAAACTGATAAACTCAACACCGTGGAGGAGTTTCGCAGACATCATGCTGGGTGAAAGAAACTTTGCCTGTATTATGTGATCCCCTTTATACGAAATTCAACACAGGCGAACCTAATCTATGTGAAAAGAAATCAGAAAAACGGTTGCTGCGGGGGTAGAGATTGACTGGAATGGACATGAAGAAATTTGATGGAGTGAGAGAAACGTTCCCTTTCCCGAGCGAGGTGGTAGTTGCATGCGTTTATACATTTGTCAAAACTCATTGACTTGTACACTTAACATCTGTGAATTTCACAGTTTACAAATTTTACCTCAACCAAAAGTCCTTAAGGCATACATGTGCCCATTGTCTCAGAAACTGAGACACTCCTCTGTCAGTCACGGCCTCCAGCTGCTTTAGATCAATGACTGGCGTCTACCCGCAGGGTCACTGGCACTTTAAAGACACACTCTCCTCTACTATTATGCTAATGAGATTGCCCATGAGCTACTGAACTTTTGAGCCTATTGCCATTTAACTCTTCAGGTGTATCTTATCTCCCAGTCAGATGGATGAGTCAACAAGATTATACTTCTATTTGTACTACTAGGACTACTACCTACCAATTATTGAGTATTTACTGCATACCAAGGAAGACATGTTTTAATAAATAATATCTCAGGAATTCCCACGACAACCCCAACAGATAGGTCATATTTTTTAATGCCCATTAGACAGGTGAGAAACTGAGACAGAAAGTGATTACGTAACTCATTCAAGATCACACTGATAGGTAAGTGGTAGAGTCAAGGTCAAACACCTCTGTCCCTAAGTAATTCCACCACCACGCTGTTGGCCTACTGCCCGTTTCAGAACGTAAACTAAAGGTGAATAGAAATACAATTGCATAATTAAATATCAACATTAGTGTTGGCAAGTTTTATATCAAGGGGAGTGGTTCATGTTTCTGTTTCAAAATCCGTAAAATATACAGACAAATATCCCCCTTACCTGAGATGAAGCTACGTGAAGGTAAGATTTATAGAAAAGCAGTTAATCAGTGCCATAGCTAAATATTCCCTGCAGGGAGCATTCAATGGATAGGGTAAATTGAGATACAGAAAAGAATATATATATGATTTCCTACAAGCCAAATTACATTAACACACCTATACTACAGAAAAACTACTACTATGTAGCTGATTGAAAACTTACATCATTCAGGAAAGATGAAAAAAAAAATTGGGAGAAAACTGGCTGCATCTGACTCCAATCTTCTAAGAGTTGCTGAGCACAAATTGGAACTCACTGTGGTAGCAAAAAAGGCATTTTCCAAGTTACTAAACACCCATTTTTAAAATTAAAACACAAATGCAAGTACAGATGAAACAAAACAAAATGATCTCTCTATACATAAACGTATTAGGAAATGATTAAACTCTAAACATTAATGATGACTTTGCTTTATCTAGAGCTAACATTTTCTTAATGTTAATGAGATCCAGGTATGATTCTTTAAGTACGCGTGACTTAAAAACTATCCTCTCTCGCCATGGTTGCAAACTTTATTAAAGCAGGAACTGGTATTTCTTATATCTGTATTATCTCTAAAGCAGTAAGCACAATTTTCTTACAGTCAATGTGTTTAAGCTAATAGGCACATAAAAATCTCAACACCATCAGTCATTAGGAAAATGAAAATCAAAATCATAATGAGATAACCTATCCCAGACCACCCACTATCATGGCTATTATCAAAAAGACAAATAATAACAAGTGTTGGCAAGGATATAGAGAAACTGGAACTCATACACTGCTGGTGGGAATATAAAGTGGAAACAGTCTATCAGCTCCTCAAAGTGATAAGCATAGAATTATCATGTGACCCAGTAATTCCACTCCTAGGTACACGTCCAAGAGAAATAAAGACACATGTTCACACAAAAACTTGCGCATGAACATTCACAGCAGCGTTAGTCATAACAGCCAAAAGGTGGAAACAACACAAATGTCTATCAAGCAATGGATGGACAAACAATGTGTGGATGGATAAACAATGTAATATTATTCAGCAATAAAAAGAAAAATATATGATACATGCTGCAACAGTGGCTGAACCTTAGAAACATGAGCTAAGTGGGAGTGGCTAGTCACAGAGAATCATACGGTCTATGACTGCATTAATATGAATGTCCAGAATAAGGCAAATCTTTACAGACAAAGTAGATCAGTGGTTACCTGGGGACAGATGAGCAGAGCAGGGAGAGGGAAGAGGACGACAAGAGTGCGCTCGTAGGTACAAGGTTTATTTGGGAGGTTCAAAAATTAGTGTATGGTGATGGTTGGACAACTCTGTACACATTAAAAACTTTGAATTTACACTTCAAACAGGTGGATTTTATGGCCTTAAATTATCTCAACGAAGCTGTTAAAGTAGCATGTTTAGGGAATAATAACAATAGCTCTTTGTGCTAAGCATGTTAAGTACTATCATTTTCACTGCTTTACAGATGAGGAAACTGAGGCACAGAAGGGGCAAGGATGTGCCCAAGGTACACAGCTGGGAAGTGGCAGAGGCAGGGCTTGTGCCCAGGGAACTTCATGCAAAGTTTGTGCTCTCACCCACTCTGCCTTACAGTCTCCTAAAAAGAGCCAGTTTCTGTCTGTGGGTGTCAGCAGTGGTCAGTGCGCAGAAGGAAGGGGAGGGAAACTGGAGGGGACATAGGAGAGGACAACAGGAGAAGAACGGAAGGTCAGTTGGCTTAAGTTTGGACATACTTTTTTTTTTTTTTTTTTTTTTGCGGTACGCGGGCCTCTCACTGTTGTGGCCTCTCC